TAATACCAACCACATACCATTCATGCATGTATTTAAGCCTTACTTAACATTATTTTAAGCAGGCTTTATTTCCACTTAAGTTTTTTAAAAATATTTTTTTAGTTATACATGGACACAATACCTTTATTTGGTTTATTTATTTTTATGTGGTGCTGAGGATCGAACCCAGTGCCTCACATGTGCAAGGCAAGTTCTCTGTCACCGAGCCACAGCCCCAACCCTCCACTTAAGCATTTAATATACTTTCTGCAGTCTAACAATAAAAAAGTTTTGATAAAATAATAAATGTAATATATTTGCATGGCAAATTTTTAATAGCATAGAATATTACTAAATAATAATAAACATTTCTCCCTGAACACTAGCCACCTCCATCCCACTCCCAGGAAGTCTATGTCGGGCTTTTCTGGTAGTTGGCACCAGTGTTGAAAAGACCTCTGCTTCCTATGTCATCAATCCTAGATGATGTCTGAGGCCTTCATACTTCTCCACATTCCACCTTTCCTCCATGAATCACCATCATTTTTGTAATATTACTATTTTTAATTCTTCTAGTGGATAGTTACCTTTGTAAATTTAGAAAGTTTTTCTTAAACCTCGAAATTTGTTCATAAACTTAAGACAGTACCTATTGGTGCTTCACTAACTCTGGTAACATACTGATAGTGGGTGGGGAAACTTGAAATGTATAGAAGCTAGTGGAAAGAATTTAGAAGTCTTTAAAGATGTCTACCCAAATCACTGCAAGGTACATACACTCTAAAGAATCTCACAAAGAAGACACTACAAAGATCACTGTTGCAGTATTATGTAACATTTAAAAATAGCTCTAATAGGGGCTGGGACTGGGGCTGGGGTTCAGCCATAGTGCACTTGCCTGGCATGTGTGAGGCACTGGGTTAGATTCTTAACACCACATTAAAATAAATAAATAAAATAAAGGTATTGTGTCCATCTACAACTAAAAAAAATTTTTTTTAAAGTATTAAAAATGCTACTCACACCCTTTTATCCCCCCCCCCCCCCCCCCAAAACTGAATACACTTGTGTGTCTTCATCAGTGATACTGCACAGTAAGGACTCCACTACATTTCCCACTTACGCATTCACCTGTCTCTCCATTTCCCTCTCACTCAGAGATGTCTTTAGGTACGTGGGCTTACCTACTTTCTTCATAGCTTTTATACACATCATGGGAAATTTTTTGTCATAATGTGGGAAGATGACCAGGATAAAACACAACATAGTCAAACAACTCTAGCAGACAGAAGACACCCCCCCCCCCCCCCGAGGAAAAGAGCCTCATGAGTAATACACATCCTGCAGCAGCTTCCCCAGACTCACGCTCAGCACTTTGGGTAGCCTGCCAAGGGAGACTTATGACATGGGCTTTTCATTCATACACTTAAATCTCATAAACATTTCTGTGAGTTATTACAGCAAGTAGAGTGAGTCCTCCAGAACGGGGAACACGTACTCCATATGCTATTTATGGGCAAACACACTCCCTAAAGTATGAAAGCACTGAGGGAGACAATTGCAGGACAGCGACTGTCTTCTAGGGAGTGGGTGGGAGACACAGGATCAGGAAAAGATAGCTGAAAAGTTTTATATATCTTTTGATTTCTTTTTAAAAGGTGAGATAAGGGTCTGGGGCTGTGGCTCAGTGTAGAGTGCTCGCCTAGCATGCATGAGGCATTGGGTTTGATCCTCAGCACCATATAAAAATAAAATAAAGATACCATGTTCACCTAAAACAAAAAAAAATAAATATTTTTTTTAAAAAGGTGAGATAAAAGGTGAAATGCTATCATTATTAAAATACCAGCACAAGGCACGTTATTTCCTGTACGTTTCATGAAATTTGAAGGACCAATGAAATTCTTAACCTATCTGAAACAGGCACAAGTCTACCAATATTGAGCAGATCACAGAAACTATTCAAGAATTTGAATCTGATACTACACAGGACAAGGGAACTAGCGAGTGCCTGTGGTTTTTGCCCTGTAAACCTCGTACCCTGACAAGACTGCCTTCCATGAGAATCTCCACCCCAGCCTCTGGCCTCATGATTCCAACCTTGACCACTCTTTGCCTCACACAGATCTGCCCTGGCCACAGTGGCCACCTTGCTACTCCTTGAACACAGAGTTGCCTCCATTTCAGGGAACTTCTGCCCCTGGGTTTTCATGTCTAAATCCTCACCTTCTTCAAATCCTTGCTGAAATCCACAACTACTACCCTCTTTAAAATGACAAAGTGAGTCCCCAGCTTCTTAACCCCTACTTCCCTGCTTATCTACCTGTCAGTTCTTACCACTTTCTAGCATTATGTAATTCACACACCTCCACCCACAAAAGAAAACCCAGAAATTTGGGGATGTTTTATCCTTTGATGAATACAGGTGCCTGGATAGCACCTAGCACAATGCAGGCACTTAAATATCTTAATTAATAAAGCTTCAATCATTCTATACTACAGTGTTCTCTGGTACTCACACAACTACCAATCATTCTTTGCACCCACAATACTGCTCAAGTATACACTTTAATTCAAATAGTCTGAGTGTATTCCCATTTCTGTGAATTCTGATTCAGAGTCTAACATGCAGTAAGAAACTTGATGTTTTTAGAATTAATGAATTCAACATCTTGAACATAAGGGATGCAGGACATTTCTATTACAAAAAGAATCACCCTCAGGTAACCAACTGCAGGTCTCTCTTTAGAAAGATCACCTTAAGGCACATTCAGAAGACTACTGTCGGGGTTCAGAGCTTTTTTTCTACAAGGACAATAAAAAGATGCACTCAAAATGTCATAAAAATAAATATCATCTTAACACATACACAGATAAAAGAAGTCAGGTCAAGTTTAATTAAGATCCAATAGCAGGCTATGGAGAAAAGGTATTTATCTCTACTTTTTTATTTTTATTGACCTCTGTTTTGACAGAGAAACAATGAATAGAAGTTATCATGCTAATTAAACATTTCAGGGAATAAATTTTAAAATAAATTATTTAAAAGTTGGTAGTGGGGCTGGGGTTATAGCTCAGTGGCAGAACACTTGCCTAGCACATGTGAGGCATTGGGTTTGATCCTCAGTACCACATAAAAATAAATAAATATATAAAATAAAGGTGGTGGGGGAAGCTGATAGGAAAAGTTTTTAAAATGGCCACAAATTCTTTGACATGCCTCGAGTTGGGGAAGTGCAGGTTAATACTCCATGCCCTTCATTCTGGCCTGACCTTAGTCATGAATGAGCTTATTTAACAACTAATCAGAAGAGGTCATGGAGTTTCAGCCAGGTTCTTTGGAATGCCTGCTCTCTAAAGTGTCCTTTCACAAACTGTTACCCAGTCATGATGTCATGGAAAGGAATCATAAAGGTACTCCGGTCACATCATGGCTAAGCCTGTCTTAGCCTAGGTCAGTCTAGCCCAGGTGTCCTGTGAAGAAGCTACCAGATGATCCCAGTCCCAAGTCATCTAAGTCTTCCAGTATTTGAGTCTTCCAAGCTAGTCCCAGACACTCTGCAGCAAAGACAAGCCGTCCCTGCTGTGCCCTGACCAAATTCCTGACCCACAGAATCTGAGCATAAATAACTGGTTGTTGTGTTGCACCACTAAGCTTTGGGGTGGCTGGAGAGAAAGAACTGGAAACAAGTGCTGCCCCAAGTCTTTTTCTAATCACCATACTTCATTTTTTCATGAGATGTCATTGGTTAGTACATACAAGTCATTTATCCAGAAGTAGTATGGCACAAGATTCATGCTCTAGCAAAGGACAAAGTACTGACTCAATATTAACTTTGAAAGATGTCAGTCCTTTCCTAACCACCCAAGTTTGTGCCCTATACCAATAAAGTGAACATACCTCATGAAGTCACTCAAGAAATGCTAATGTGTCTGTCTCCTTCTCACTCTCTTCTCTCTCAGAGCAAAGCATTCTCTTTTCAATAATACCACATCAGAAAGAGGAAAGTAAATTGTAGCTATTGGTACTCATGAGGCCCTAATGCTATGTGTGCAATATTTCTGAAATATTTTCTTCCTGAAGAAACAAATTCATAAAATTAAAAATGATCACAATTTACTATTTCCAAAAATCTTTCCCTAGAAACAAGGATCTATAACTGATAGAAAAAATATTAAGGCAAAATTTTGATTTCAGAAAACAACTTTAATCAAAATCAGATGGACCCCTTTGTTCTTGTTTTTAAGCACAAATATAGTCAATCTTAAAGTATTATATAGCTATAGAGTGAAGAGCTCAAGGCTAATAATAAAAAATCTTTTATTAAAGTCATTCTTGTAAAAGCAAAAAAAGTAACAAGTAAAATTAAATGTATATCTTACACTGGCAATAGAAATACTTTTTAAAGTAAAAACAACAAAAACTCAATTTTATTATAACTAGTCTGTAGTCAATACTGCCCTCTGGTGACACAAAATAAAAGTCAAATGTCAGAAAGTGAATGTAATACTTGATTTCAGTGTTCAAGTCAAGGTATCTAGTCTGGACTATAAATTCCACCAAAGACAAAATAAATAGATTCATTATTACCTTCATTATCTATTTCATGTTAAATTAGAAACTCTCAAGGGTTCTTATACATGGAAAGAGCAGTTCTTGCATAAACTATTAATGAAACATCATTACATGGTAAATTTTATCTTCCGTAAAATTATTCAATTTAAGGAAGACCCTGAAGGCATGCTGCTCATAAGTTAAGAGGGCATGCAGGACAGTGAGAGGAAAGCCTTGCCATCTGTAAACAGAAAATTCCATGGGAAGGGAGCCATAGTTCTCAGCGCCTGTGTATCTAACACACTGAAAAGTGCCCATGGAAACCAAGGCCTCACAAGCCTGCCAACTCTGCCCCTCAGGAAACCTTACTCCTTATTTTTAGGAAAAAAAGCTTAACAAAAAAGAGCACATTTGGCTGCTAAATATTCACTGAGTGTAGGAAATGTTTCAAGAAAAAAAGACTTACCAAGGCTAGTGCCATCCTGCCCCATGATGCACTTCATAGAGGTGATGATCTGCTCCACCACAGGCGGTGACAGAGATGTGGCATACACTGCACTGTGAGAATGTGTGCGCAAATAGTCAATCAGCTCCTGGGGAGTTCAAAGAGGCAGATAATTAGAGGCAATTCTTTAATTTACTGGCAATGTCAGTCACTACCTTCCTTCCAGGTGCCAGTGGACACCTCCCTTGAATGGCCTGGCAGAGACACTAACCTGAGATGTGAGGTCAACCGACAGGGTCAAAGTGTACTGTCAGCAACAACTGGGTTAGAATCTCTACAAAGGCTTTTAATCTTTGTTTCATTTTTTTTTAAACCAATTTCGAAGTATCTTTTCTCTATTTAATGTTACCAACAAACAAGGAGGGTTCTGGATTTCCCTTTTAGATACAATGATTTACTTCTAAGCATTACAGAAAATTTCACTTTCATCTCACCTTATACTTGCAAGGCTTATCCTTATACCCTTAAAGTAATAGTACTCAGTCTTGGGGTTCAGCTTGGTGGTAGAGCAAATGCCTGGCATGTGTGAGATTCTGGGTCAGTCCCCAGCAATAAATAAATAAATAAATAGTCTCTAATATTGATTTTAAGGGCATCAGAATATCCTCCAGTTATATGGAGATTTATAAAATTATATAAATGTGGCAGAAATAAGTCTTTCATTAGAACACCAATGCTACCCATTAAAGGTCCCTTCTACTTCTCCCTCTCCTCAGTAAAGTAAAGCCCTGTTACAAGGATTTCTAAAACAACTAATTATATACCCCTGTTCTCTGGTACTTTTTAATTTCACTTAAATCTTTAAATAAATAAAATGTGGGGCTGAGGCTATGGCTCAGTGGTAGAGCGCTCACCTGGCACTAGTGAGGCACTGGGTTTGATCCTCAGCACCACATAAAAATAATGTGGTGCTAAATATATATGTAAAAAAATACAAAATAAATAAATGTGCACACAAGTGTTATTACCAAAACCAAGTAAATTAACAAAAATACAGTATAACATGTGCTAATACTTCTAAAATAGTAAAAAAACATGCCCCCAAACCCAGAAGCACAAATGTTATACTTAAATGATCTCCCAGAATATTACTTTTCTATACTCTGGTATACAGGAATAAATCTTACCAAAAAGCAGTTAACTCTCCAAAATAAGCCTAGTTCCATTAACAAAAAAGGGTAACATTTGAGAATAAAATCCACCAAACCTGATTAAAACCTACTGAAAATGTGTTTTCCCTAAAAGGCAACCAATTATTTAAAGAATGACTATTCTTTAAGACACCCAACACCAGGAATTTAGAACATTTTTGAGTACCTACTATGTGCTATATACGAATATCTGACATATACCATTTTTTCCTAATGTTACAGTGATTTTTAAAAATACTTTTATGAAAATATAAACCACATGCTACTATATTCACCTTTTAATTTTTTGGTACCAGGGATTGATGAGCCCAGAGGTGCTTAACCATGGAGCCACACCTCCAACCCTTTTTATTTTGAGATAGGGTCTCATTAAGTTGCTTAGGGCCTTGCTAAGTTGATGAGGCTAACTTTATTATGATCCTGCTGCCTCAGCCTCCTGAGCCACTGGGATTAAAGGCATGCACCACTGAGCCTGGCTCATATTCACCTTTTGAAAGTGTACAATTCAGTGGCTTTTAGCATATTTGGAATAGTGCAACTTTCACCAGCATCTAATTTTAAAACATTTACATCACCCTAAAAGAGAAACCCATTAAAGGTCCCTTCTACTTCTCCCTCTCCTCAGCCCTGGCAACTTCTAATCTACTTTCTGTTTCTACACCTATTCTTAATAGAAAACTTCAAGAAAAGTCATCATACAATATGTGACCCTTGCCGACTGACTTTTCTCTTAACAGGACGTTGTCAAAGTGCATCCCTGTTGTATTAGGCACATATCATTTTAAACTCTTATTACAATATTACAAGAGCTAGGCATATCTATCTTTATTTTAATGACAAAGAAACTGAAAAGTTAAATGCTTTCCTGAAGGTCTCACAAAGCAAGCAGAGGCAAATCCAGGCCTGTTTCCTTGGTTCACCATTGCCACCATGCCACATTGATTTTTTTCTTTTTTGAGAGAGAGAGAGAGAGAAGTTTTTTTTAATATTTATTTTTTAGTTTTCAGTGGACACAACAACTTTATTTTATTTTTATGTGGTACTGAGAATCCAATCCAGCGTCCCGCTCATGCCAGGCGAACGCACTATCACTTGAGCCACATCCCCAGTCCCACACATTGGTTTTTAGTTACCTCAAAGTTCACTATATAATTTCAGAATTGAAAGATACAACGTTCTGTAGTACCCTAGAGCTAGCAAATGCTTTTTCTTCCTCTTTCTATGTTCACCCATGATACATTTGAGTCCAAGGGCCGGGAAACCGAGCTTCTGTTCCCACTAGCTCCCATGACAACAACACTACTTTCGAAACCCAGCAGCAGACTGGCAACAGGAAGCAGCACTGTGTGTCCTCTCACAAAAGAGGGTATTCTATATCTCAAACCAGAATGTAGTTTAGAAAGAAGCTCAAATAAGAAAACAACCAACAATGAACAGAACCAGCCTTTAGCTCAGTGAGGAGACATCAGCGTCACTCTCGGGCAGCTGAAGCGGGAAGCCCACTGGCACTAGGAGCTAAGCCACAAACAAACTCAGGATCTCCACACCCCAGTTCAGGACTCATCTGATAAACACTGCCAAGTTCAGGCGTCCTGTTTTCATCTTTAATGGCTCATTCACCTTCTTGCCTCCAATGTATCCTCCAGAAGCACCAAAGCTCTTTGTGAACGTTCCCATCATGACATCCACATCCTCAGGATTCAAGCCAAAGTAGTCTACCACACCTCGACCTTTAGGGCCCAGGGCGCCGATGCTGTGAGCCTCATCCAGATACAAGTATGCCTTGTATTTCTTCTTGAGGGCAATCACTTCAGGAAGGCGAACAATAGACCCCTCCATGCTGGCAAAACAGGATTAAAAAAATATATACATTGAGACTTTTTAACCTCTCAAAATTAGAAATTGTTGCTTTATTATTCATATTGTGAGTTTATTTCTTTTTAAATCATCTAACGACTCCACCTGTGGTTTTAAATCGACAGGGTTAGTTGGTGCCATGGCTTGGCAGAAATCTAGAGGAAAGGAGATTAGATCTTTTAAGACAAGTGCCAGAATACAACAGATCCTAATACATGACAGAAAGAATTAAGGTCACAGCAGAGTCTTCTAAAGCTTGTACTTATAGGCAACATTAGACTTTTGTATTACATTGCATACACAATTAAAATTACACAAAAGAATAAAAAATTAGGAGATCAAAGAATAAGGACTAGCAACATGAATCGAAGAAAAATATTTCTTAAAATTAAGTGGTATGTAATTTGGTTTGACATATTAGAATCCATATTCTTGCCCATATGTGTGAGTTCCCTTGCCAAGAGAAAAATACAGGACCCAAAGAGAATGGGCATTAGGAGACTGTGTAGTGTACACACAAAAAGCCTTCTATTCCAGTGCTGACTTTGCTTCCAGGGTTTTCAACAAGTCATGATACTGTTTCTTTAGTTTCCAGAGGGTGCAATGTAGCATTCCCTCCTTCAGCTTAACAATTCTAGAACTTCATGGACCCAAGTCACAAAGATCAGGACAGTGAAGTAGGATTACCTATATATTCCTTCCACAAGAATTAGAATTTTCTTCCAGGGCCTTCGTGTCCGAGGCTGACCATAAACAATGGCATCTTTTAATAGCTTCTCTAGGCTTTGCATATCTACAAGTACATGAAAAAGAATTGAGTCATAGACAATCTTCCTTTTTCCTAACTTTCTTCCAAAAATTCAAATACACATTTCTTACTCATTCGGGAAGTGTGTCTTGAATAGCAAATGACATGAACAAAAATAGAGTCAAGCAAAATGAGACTAGGGCAAAATGGTGAACTATTGCCACCTTTAACTGAAACCTAAATATGACAAATATTCAAAACCATCAACATGATTAAATAACTGTGGGTACTGTCTGCTTCAGTTGCTTACCATGCTTTATGAAATGACCAAGCTTCATCTTAAATACTTTGCCTTCAAGTTAGCTTTTCTGTGTTTGTAGAATCAAAGTATATCTCTAATCCTAGTGAGTCATTCATAAAGAAGAGCATAAAGAAGACTGAACAAGAGTGTGAACAAAGGGCTGGGAATGTAGCTCAGTGACAGTGCTTGGCCTAATGTGCACCAGTACCAAATAAAAAGTGTGTGAACAAATCATCACAAATATGTATACCTATACTTCAAAGTGTAGTCTCTACTTCCTTCCACCTGGGATGTACTCAATAAGTACCTGTTAAATAGCCTTAATAGCCTAATCTTGGTACCGGGTTTAAAATACACCAATCTGGGTGCTTGTGTCTATGTTTTAAGCGAGCTTGGCAAGCAGTTGAGACTGTTCCCTATTCAACTTCCTCAGCCATTCATACATAACCAAGTTCTGTGGCTCTGCTAGTGCTTAAGGTGGTTAATCGGCCTAGGACACGACCTAGTATTACCATTAATGAGGACCATATGGTAAAGTTACTATTAAAGACAAATGCTTTGAAGACTGTTGCCACCATTATGACCTCCATATTTAAAATATTTGCTCTGAAATGAATCTTAAAAAATTCCCCCAGGGGCTGGGGTTGTGGCTCAGTGGTAGCGCACTTGCCTAGCATGTGTGAGGCACTGGGTTTTGATTCTCAGCACCACATACAAATAAATAAAATAAAGGTCCAGGGGCTGGGGATGTGGCTCAAGCGGTAGCGCGCTCGCCTGGCATGCGTGCCGCCCGGGTTCAATCCTCAGCACCACATACAAACAAAGATGTTGGGTCTGCCGAAAACTGAAAAATAAATATTAAAAAATTCTCTCTCTCTCTCTCTCTCTCTTTAAAAAGAATTTAAAAAATAAAAAATAAATAAAGGTCCATCAACAACTAAAAAATATTTTTTAAAAAATTCCCCCAAATCTAATCCCCAATTCTGGGGGATATTTAATAGTAGCAGGAGACACCTCACCATAAAATATGAATTTGCATTTTTTATTGCTCATCACTGGAGAAGGGGTTTATAAAATTACATGTTTGCTCTTTTCATAAAAGAACTGTGATAAGGAGAAATAAAGGAATAAAAACACAAAACACAAACACAAATATGATAACCAGAGGCTGAGATTGTGCTTAAACTTTCAGCTATTTGCAATAAAGCAGTTTGCACCCTTCCTAAGACAGAAGATGCTCTGTAGAGGAGTATATTTGCCCTAATTTTTAAAAACATATTTTTAGTTGTCAATGGACCTTCATTTTATTTATATGCAGTGCTTAGAATCCAACCCAGCACCTCACACATGCTAGACAAGTGCTCTACCACTGTGTCTCAACCCCAGCCCAATCTGTCCTAATTTGAAGTCTATAGTTCTGCAGATAGCAATGTGTGGCAATCAGCCAGAGACAAGTGTATACTTGTTATTTGAGTTTCTTATGTTTATAGACAGAAAGGAAGAGGAAAATAAATATTGATTCTAAGTTTTAGACAAGAAGAAATATCTATAACAAAATGCTTGATCATATTATCTATTTGGGAAAAAAACATTTATGCTGGGAGCCATTAGCCAAGTAGGTATGACAATTTCCTTGCCAGCGTACCCCATGTTGCTGACATGTTGCAGCGACATTGAATGTAGGTGACCTTGCTCAAGGACCAAGGCAGATTAGGGTGTTCCCGGTTTTAAGATAAATCGTGTTTAGGGCGTTCCCAGTTTAGGTTCCAGGTTTAAGGTTTAAGATTATTCCTCCTGGGAATAGGGCGTATCCTGCTGCCTGAGTTCCCCTTGAGTTCTCACGTGATTCAGACAGTATATTTTGGAGATAGAAGCCCAGTGGAGGGATTTGGGCAGAGAACGTGGATTCGGGCAGAGAACATGGATTTCCCCAGAACGTGATTGCAGACGGCTGGTGTGAGTTCGGGAATAAAGAGTTGCTGTTTGAATCTACAAGCTGTGTGGTGGCTCGTGATTGTGTGCCCAGCCAGACTGCGGCATTTGTGCCCAGCCAGACTGTGGCACATTTAATCTCTTTCCCCTATTTCCTCAAATTTTACTATATATTTCCTCAAATTTCACGGAAATTTAGGTTGAAATATATAGTAAAACTCCCAGAAAAGTATAACTTTATGTTTGAAATGAGGAAGACATTAAGTAAAATCCAACAGTCCCAACAAGCATGACAAAATAATTTTGTGTCTGCATAGCAAGACACACAAAAAAAGAGTCAAAAATAAATTAAAAAATGGTGCAAATTTATATATAAAGGGCTCTTACAATCCGAGGAAAAGATAAACAGTTTGAAAGTGGCCAATTTATAAAGTAACACCAGTAAATAAGTATATAAAATAACTATATAAAAAGTTGCTTTACACTTAATAATCAAAGAAATAAAAATCAATGTATTATTATTTACTAATTAGATTCAAAAAGATTTAAAATGATTCATAATAACCTATGTTGTCCAATGATTAGAAAGAGTTATTTGTATAATGCTTAAAAGCAATTTGGAAAAGGATTAAAAATTTACACCCTCTTACTCAAGCATTCTGAGACTGCTAGGCACTAATCAGATGATTGTACAAAAATGGGAGTGAAGTGCAGTTTCTAATAGAAAAGTTTAGAAACAATTTGAGGTTCATACTGAGGGGCGGATTCACTTATGGCAAAATCAGAAATAATTGCCAAACTGGCATTAAAGGAGGAGGTAGTCATAGCTACTAACAATCTATGTTCACATTGTTAAAAAAAGGAAATTGCAGGTTACACCTTAGGTTTCATTTGATAAAACAAAATACATTTTAGGCAAGAAAAACAGAAGAAAGTCATTAAGACCCATAATCCTTTTCTCCAGAGGTAAAGAACATTTTGGAATATATTATTCTAGACTTTTGATCTGTACATACACACATTTTGGCAAAAGATGTTAAACATATGGTGCAGTAATTTTTTTCTCACTGTGTGTATTTTAACTATGAAAATTATGCTGTATTGTGATTATTTAATAGTACACAGATATTTCCACTTGGAGAGCAGGTTTTTGCTTTCTGGCACTTTTCTCTGAGGTCCTACAGTATCTGTACATATCCAGATCTCCGTACTTGCCTATTGTATTGTAGATGCTGGTTTAACTGTTAAATCTTTATTAACCAGAGATCCTACAGATCAGGAATCCTGACTTATTATCTCAATACCCTTCAGGCATCTATTATGTATACTTTAACAAGAGATTTGCAAATAAGAAGATGGAATGGAAAACCTGAAAGTCAATTAAAAGGAGACTATCATATTTTGCATAAAAGATCTGTGTTTTTACTCCAATGAGGAAGTGCACAACTTTTAAAAAACAGGAGAACATTTTAAATTTTCTATTTAGCTTCATTTATGTTTTCTATTATTAATAGAAGTAATGTTACTATTACCATTGACACAAAGAATATTAAACCTAAAGCATATAGTGAATTCTATGACAAAACTCACTGTTGTGCTTGAAGATTCGAATGGTTGCCCCCGACAGTCTGGCTCCTAGAACCAGCGATGCGTGGTTTAGCTCATCACTCAGAATTAAGCAACCCTGCAAAACCACAAGCATAGGAAGGTAAGATGATGGAGGGGAAAGTGTTAATTATGCAAATTACAAAAGGCTACAGTCACTAATAATTAAACCCTATTAAGGAAACCCTACACAACAGCAAAGTGATCGATTTTTTAAAAAGTGTATTTGTTTTTGCAGAGATACCTTAGAAATCGATGCAAAATCCTAGCCTATTTAATACCTTCATTCTGTGATGGACCTAAACATTCAGATACACATCAAGAGGTTCTTATTCATATCTAAAATCATAAGATTTTAGCATATGAATAAGACCATCTTTAAAAGATTTGGTTTTCTCTGATTTGAGAATATTCTCTTTCTCTCTGTAGCAGGGATTGAGATCAGGGCACTCAACCACTGAGCCACATCTATTTTGTATTTTATTTAGAAACAGGGTCTTACTGAGTTGCTTAACGCCTTGCTTTTTGCTGAGGCTGATTTTGAACTCACAATCCTCCTGTCTCAGCCTCCTGAGCAGCTGGGATTACAGGCATGTGCCACTGATTTGAGAATATTTCAACTGAATTTTGATATGCTGTACTGTTTACTTGTAGGAAATGGCATCTCAGAGTTAAGCCTGTAGAAATGGGGCACTGTTTCTCTCTACTAACCATATCATTCGGAATTCAGGAAGGATCTCACTTATAAACCCTATATCCCATGGTGTGTAAAATCTCTGGAAAAACTTTACTTTCACATGTAAATATGGTTCATGCTACAGCAACAGGAAAAGGTTGATGCTCTTGGTTTTTTATTTCTTCCCTAATTTATACTAGGCCATCTCTCCTGGAGTCCTTCCACTATAAGGGCACATGGTGTTCTTAATGCACAGATTTTTTTCTCTGTCAAAAAACAGCTTCAGAATATCCGATTAGATCTCATTTTCTCTGAATTGCCTCTTTAAAAACCCCCTTTTCCTGCAGATGGCAGAATCACAACTTTTGGGACAGGAATCCCCTGTATTTCTCCTTTGCTAGAAAAGCAATAAACCTTTTTTATCTCAAAAAAAAAAAAAAAAAATCAGATTAGATAAAATAATATAAGGTACAGACAGTCTACAATATGCTCCCATAAGAATAAAAGGAAGAAGATGGATTAGCATATGCCTATTTATTACAGGACATTCTTGGACAGATATTTAGGAAAATTGTAATAGCAGGTATCTGATTTTTTAACTGTGTGCTAGTTTTTTATTACTTAAATAAAAGCTACCTATATCAAAATAAAAAAAGGCTGGGGATGTGGCTCTGTGGCAAAGCACCCCTGGGTTTGATCCCTGGTACCAAATAAAAGGCAGGTTTAGAGGTATGGATACAAACTCCTCTGATTTTAAAAATTCACATTTATTATATACATATGTGTACATACACACAGCTGTGTTTGTATGCATGAGTTAGTATACATATATGCATGTTCTATCTGTATCCACTAAGGCATGAGAAGCAGTAAAATCCCATAGCAATAAACACACCTGGTTCCCAGATCCTGTCTTCTAAATACAATTCTCTGGTTGATCCGAAAGCTAGGATAAGGAACAAAGCTGAGCCTGGAACATCTTTTTTTTTTTTTTTTTTTTGTACTGGAGATTGAACCTAGGGGTTCTCAACCACTGAGCCATACCCCCATACCTCCCCTTTAAAAAAAATTTTTTTTAGTTACAGATGGACATAATACCTTTATTTTATTTGTTTATTTTTATGTGGTGCCAGAGATTGAATCCAGTGTCTCACGCATGCTAGGCAAGTGCTCTACGACTGAGCCACAACCACCCCCAGCCCTTTTTATATTTTATTGAGAGACAGGGCCTTGCTAAGTTGCTGAAGCTGGGTTTGAACTCTCAATCCTCCTACCTCAGCCTCCCAAGTTGCTGGGATTACAGGTGTGCACTCCTGCATCTGGCTAAGCCTGGATCATCTTAATATGCCAGAAAGCAAGAAAGTACTTTTAAAAAATGAAAAAGTTGTTGCATATTCTAAAGACACAAGAGCCTTCCTGAATGAGTTCCCAATGCCCAAAACTAAAATAATTCAGGTAACAAAAAGAAGCAATCATATTGGATTATTACCCAAATAATGAAAAAGTCACAAATACATAGTGATATAAATACATAGGGGACAATTCTTCCTTACACACAATTCAAATGAGTATTGAAGGAGAAAACTAGAAAATTTAATGTAAGAACATCAAAGTAATAACTGCCGTAGTTGAGATCCACAGATGAATACTAAAATTAGTAGGTGAAAGGCGAATTGCCCAGTAACATACACCAATACTGTGCACCCTACAGGGCACGTGGTGTTCTTAATACACTGCTTCAGTCGATCATGAGACAGAGCAGACACACCCAAACTGAGACAGTCTACAAGGAAAGACAGGACTGTCACAGATTGGAAAGGACTGAGGAGCTACAATAACTGAATGCAGTTAGTTATGTACATTCTTTTATTTTCTTCTCTCTCCAGCTAATTTCTTTATCTGGAAAAATATGCAGTATCATTATGGCCTTTTTGTTTATAATCTATTTTTAGATAACATTGTTTACCATCTGTATGATTCAATCTGGTTTTTTCCCCTCCTAATCTACTAGGAGTCCTAGTAGATTATATCCTACTATTATATCCTTGGTTTAAAAAAATGAAATAAATATTAAATATCAGCAGTTGACATCTAAGTGCATAATATATTTCAGGCAACATGTTCAGAGATTTAGATGCATTAATACTTTTAATTGCCACAACAATAGTTATGAGGAAGGTACTATTATCATCTTCACTTTACATAGAGGAAACTGAGTCAGGATAACTCTCTTGCTCAAGGTCATCAAAATGCACATTTGATAAAAAGCTCCTGCTTCCAGAACATTGTGTTTATCAACAAACTGCCCTCCCTGCATCGAAGATGAACAATCAACCATCTCACAGAGAAATTCAGTACCAGATTCAAAGAATTAGGAGAAGTAGACAGTTGCTGCCCTTAACAGGTTAAAGGATATTTAGTAACATTTCAACTACAATGTTTTGAGATTCAGAAGACAAATCTTTAAGGTAGTACATTCCCATGTAAATAGAGAAGAAATCTATTAGATAGGAATTTGCTAGAGTTTGTGTTCATACAGGGAGAAAATGAAGTTATCTAATGTTCTAAGTATAAAAATTCTAATTCCTAAATAAAGGACAGTAATGCCTTATAATCAATGTGACATCAAAGAACCACACACTGTGTTTTTGAGGGAATCTGTATGTTTAATCCAAGTTGTTAGATTCACTAGTGTAAAGTTGTTCTCATATTCCCTCATTACCCTTGACTTCTGGAGGCAGTGAGCGACACCCTCACTTGCTCCTGCTATTGGTCTTTTGTGTCTTCTCATCCTGATCAGTTGGCCAGACATTTACCAATTTTTTTTTTAATTTTTTATTGTTGGTTGTTCAAAACATTACATAGTTCTTGATATATCATATTTCACACTTTGATTCAAGTGGGTTATGAGCTCCCATTTTTACCCCATATACGGATTGCAGAATCACATCAGTTACACATCCATTGATTTACACATTGCCATACTAGTGTCTGTTGTGTTCTGCTGCCTTTCCTATCCTCTACTCTCCCCCCCTCCCCTCCCCTCCCCTCCCCTCTTCTCTCTCTGCCCCCTCTACTGACATTAGACATTTACCAATTTTATTCACTTTCTCAAGAGGCAGTTTTGGTTTCACTGATTTCCTAGTATCTAATTCACTGATTTTTGCATTTATCTTTATTGCATACTTCCTTCTGCTTAGTTTGGGTTTCGTTTGCTCTTTTCTAGTTTCTTAAGATAGAAAGTTTTCTAGCTGGGTACAGTGGCGCACACCTGTAATCCCAGTGGCTCAGGAGGCTGGGGCAAGATGATTGCAGGTTCAAAGCTGGCCTCAGCAACTTAGTGAGACCCCAAGCAACCTAGTGAGACCCTGTCTCAAAAAAAAAAAAAAAGAAAAAAAAATTTAAAATAAAAAGGACTGGGGATGTGTTTCAGTGGTTAAGCACCCTGGGTTCTATCCCCAGTGTAAAACATAAAACAAAAAACAAAAACCCCCACAAATGAACAAAAACATTTTCTTTTGACACTCTACATTCCCATCTGAGCACTGCTTTACCTTTACCCAACAAATTGTGATATTAATTTCCATTTAATTGAAAATGTTTTCTAGCTTCCCTTATTTTTTATTCTTTGGCTCATGGATAATCCAGAAATGTGTGGTTTAAGTTTCAAATATTTAAGGATATTCCAGATATCTTTGTGTTACTGACTGCTAATTTCACCGTGGTCAGAGAACAAAAACTTGTTTAATGGTCTGAAGTATGGGTTTTGTTTATTTTATTTATTTATTTTTTGGAGACAGGGTCTCACTAGGTTACTTAGGTTCTCACTCTCGGTAAATGTTTTGCTGTTGTTGGGTGAAGTGTCTGAGTAGTGTCAATCAGGTCAGCTGGTTGAAAGTATTTTCTAAGTGTTCTATATCCATATGGATTTTATGTTTAGTTCTATTGATTGATAGAGGGCTGTGGATATCTAATTAGAATTCTACACTTGTATACTTCTCCTTTAAGTTTCATCAATTTTTGTTTTGTGTACTTCAAAGCTCTGTTATTAGGTACCTATATATCTTGAAGAATTAATTCTTATCATATACAGTAATCCTCTTTATCTTCAGAAATATTACCTGTTTGAAAATCTTTGTTTATGCAATGTGGTCACTTCACATTTCTTTTGATTATTGTTTGCAAGATATTGCAAGATATATCTTTTTTCATTCTTTTTTTTTTTTTTTTTTTTTGGTGGTGGTGCTGGGGATGGAACCCAGGGCCTTGCACATGGTAAACAAGTACTCTTAACACTGAGCTACTTCCCCAACCATTCTTTGACCTTGATGTCTTTATATTTAAAATAGACTCTCATTTTATATTAGAAAGCCTACTTAATTTTACCTAATATAATAATGTTTTCTACTTGAAGGTATAAATTATTTACATCTACTATAATGTCAATAGTAAATTAAACCCAAACTCTCCTGTTACTTGGTTTCTATTTGTCCCACTTGTACCTTACAGAACCACATAACTGTATAACTGAATTAGAGTTAGAATAATCCATTTATGAAGGAAAGTTTAAGGACCAGAAATGTTACTTGACACGTTCACAGTCACACAGCTAAGTATGACCACACAATGAACCAATAAACAAGCAAAACCTCCTGTTTGAGTTAACCCACTACTTTTTTAATACACAATTCCTAGACATCAATGTTAAAATGATGTCAAGGGTCCTTCAAGCTGACTGCCAGTCTGCTAAAACACAATATACAAAGTATGTTATCCTTTCTGTCTTCTAACTATCTACTCACAAGCTCTATCTACAGGATGGATGGAAAAATACATAAATGTCTACATATATATTTATATATAACTTGTCTATATGTTAGGATGACATATACTTTCATATTTTTCAATTTAGGATAATCCATCTATTAAATAACTTTCTGAACTAAACTTTCATAAGTTTAGTCTTTCAGAAGTTTTTATTTATTAGACTCCCTTCAAAATTGTATGTTAAAAAGAGGAAGGTAAGGGCTGGGGATATAGCTCAGTTGGTAGAATGCTAGCATGCACAAGGCCCTTACTTCAATCCCCGTCACCACAAAAAAAAAACAAACAAAAAAGAGAAAGATAAACTTGTATGTGATTTTTACATTGGTACTGAAACCTTTAGGAACTGAATGGCATTGCAGAGAGAAAAGATAGAAGGAGTCCTGTGTGTTATACATCACTGCTTTTCAATGCTTCCTTAGCCACGTTAGATCAAACAACTGTGATTTCTCAAATGTCAACTACACATTTTTGTTTTAAAGATAGAGAATAAAATATGCACACGGGTAATCTCAGCAGCTTAGGAGGCTGAGGCAGGAGGATTGCAAGTTCAAAAGCCAGCCCCAGCAACAGTAAGGCACTAAGCAACTCAGTGAGACCATGTCTCTAAATAAAATATAAAATAGGGCTGGGGATGTGGCTCAGTGATCCAGTGCCCTCGAGTTCAATCACCAATACAAAAAAAAAAAAAAAAAAGAAGGTAAGCTTCATCTAACAGAAAAGTAAAGGACCATGGGTTCTACAAGAAAGGTTCAACTGATATAAGACTCCACGATAGAAATATTTTTGGAACAATGATGTGTAGTGTCAAGTTATGGTCACTTTGGCTTGCTTTGAATACTTCTGAAAACCAAAGAAGATATGTATGAGAGAATTTTTATGAATGACAAAGTGTCTTACTTTGCTAACAAGAGCAGGAATATTCATTGAATTTGTTGCAAATCCCATGCCATATGTCATAGCAGCTTCTACTCCCAAAAACCTTGCTACAAGCTTCTCTAGTTCTTCATGCTTGTCCAGGTTTCCTGTGTGAAGAAGTTAACAAAGTCAATATCATAAAATCCTGAATTTAAGAATCACTCACCACTTTTCAAACATAAACCAATCTATATGTTGTGACCTTTTCTATGGTCTATAAAAGAGTCAGTATTATGAAGAGTAATGGCTTATCAGGAACAAAATAGATAAAATACATTTAGATTCAGCATCTCTGGTGAGAGAATTGGCAAAAAATAATTTTATATTTCTACACACCAGCTCCAGCTCTAGGCCTTAAGAGGCGTAGCAAGATTTGCTTCTGAGGGGCTGGGGTTGTGGTTCAGTGGTAGAGCGTTCACCTAGCACGTGTGAGACACGGGTTCCATCCTCAGCACCACAAAGAAATAGATTTAAAATAAAGGTGTTGTGTTCATCTACAACTAAAAAAACATTTTTTTTTAAAAAAAACAGTTGTTTTTTTTGCCCCCATCTGCCATCCAAAACAGTGTAGCTGGTCTGTTGTAGAGATAAAACGTGTAGAAAGAGGGAGGTCTCTGAAGAATAAGAAACCATGGAAGTAGAGAGAAGGGGAAGGAGGAGAAGAAGGAAAGCAGAGGGAAGCTGGGGAAACTAGCTTTTAGCATTTCTACCACCTAGGTGAGGTACCAGGCACGTTAAGTTAAGCCACCCTCTGTCCTCAGTTGTAATGGGCCACTCAATAGCATTGAACCCTTTCCAAATTGCAGGATCACAAGCATATAAATTTCTATTGTTATTTTAAACCACTAAGCTTTGGGTTGGTTTGTTGTGGAGCAACAGATAGGTTAAAAAGCTCCTTCTCTTTCTTTGATCTGACTAGTAAACTTGTATGTGATTTTTTACATTGGTACTCAAACCCTTAGGAACTGAATGGCATCACAGAGAAAAAAAGATATGGAGAAGGAATCCTGTGTGTTATACATCACTGCTGTACAATGCTTCCTTAGCTACATTAGATCAAACAGACTATGATTTCTCAAATGTCAACTACACCTTTTTGTTTTAAAGATGGAGAATAAAATGTTTTACTCATTCCGGTTCTGGGTTTTATTAGCCCTGAGCTGAGCCTTGGGTAATTGAGGGTTTCCTGCCGGTGAGGTGGTTTGGCATTTAAGCAGTGGGTCTTGCCTGAGATGGACAGCTAAATTCCTTGACAACTATCCAGTGGTTTTCCTGCCTGCCTGTGAAAATCCCCCAGCATGGATTCCTCATCATGAGAGAGTACACCACCCAGACTACGACAATGAATTAACCCAGTTTCTGCCCCAAACTGTCACACTGAAAAAGCCTCCTGGAGCTCAGTTGGGATTGTTAAATCCCCAGAGGAGGAAAGGCCTCCCAGCTAGGCATCTTCATCTCCAAAGTGATTCCTGACTCAGATGCACATCGAGCAGGACTTCAAGAAGGAGACCAAGTTCTAGCTGTGAATGAGGTGGATTTCCAAGATATTGAGCACAGCAAGGCTATTAAAAGATCCTGAAGACCACCTGAGAAACCAGAAAGTGTGCACACTTCTTTCCTTACAATTATCATCGTCAAAAAGAGAAGACTGTGCACTGAAGAGTTGCAGCCCATGGCCCTCCATGTGGAAACTGCCAGGCCAGGCCAGCTGTTATCCAAACTGTACTGAACTCTAAGTCTCCTAGTTTTCTAGGCAAGCTTCATTCCCTGAAAGGAAAGGGATGAAATGTCTAGGTATAACCTAGCCTGTGGGGAACCCAGCTAGAAATGGCAGCTGACATTTACTAGTTACCATGAGCTCGGCACATATACATCTTATCATTTTTATTATAGAAATTGGTCAGAAAATATTGGGAACCTTCCACCTGGTTGCCTGGCCACTTCATCCTACCCTTATATTATCCTAAGTTTATACACATTGGGGACGCCAATGAGACACTTTTGTCCCTTCCTCCTCCTATCATCTCTCCCAAAAGGAAAATACAATACTGAATAAATGTCATTGTGACTTTTGGGGAAAAAAAGGCTTTATTTTCACTTCCCTATTGAAAAGCATCACAATACAAATGGAAGAGCAAGAAACAAAAACATAAAATTCTACTTTTCATTCATTACTAAATATCTGCAATCTTCAACACAATTAATGAAAATGGAAAATGTACAGAAGGATGGTGTTATAGCTGAACTCTGTTCACTAAAAAGATATTTTGAGAAGCTGGGGTATTGCTCAGTGGCACAGTATGTACTTATTAGCATGTGTTAGGCCCTGTATTCAATCCTCAGGACCAAAACAAAATAACAAAAAACTGGATATCTTGAAGTTCTAACTCCTGAACCTCAGAGTCTGATCTTTGGAAACAGGGTCTTCACAGGGGTAACCAAGATAAAACAAGGTTATTGGGGTGGTGCTAAAATCTTTTTTTTTTTTTCAGTTTTAGATGGACACAATATCTTTATTTTTATTTGTATGTGGTGCCGAGTATCGAACCCAGTGCCTCACGCACACTAGGTGAGTGCGCTACCACTTGAGCCACATCCCCAGCCCATAATATCTTTATAAGAAAGGAAAATTTGGACATGGAGACAGATGTACATAGAGGAGGCATGACAGAAGACAATGCTTGATACTCAGGAAGACAGCTGTGTGGCCCCAAGACAGGAATGCCAAAGATGTTGGCAATACAGAAGCAAGCAAGAAAGTCTCCAGGGCTCTCAGAGAGTGCATGACCCTTATGGCATCTTGACCCCAAACTTCTACCCTCCAAAATGATGAAACTATAAACTGTCTTAAGTTACCCAGTTTCTCACACTTTGTTACGGAAGCCCTAGAAAACCAAAACAGGTGGGAAATGACTTAGAGTGACAGGTCCATATCTACGCCCTTACAGAGTGAACGTGGTTCAGTGAGAATCAAGCAGATTCATTGTATGGAATCCAGTGGAGGCTCAAAAGTTAGAGACAACAGGAATAAGAGAAGGCAAGGGTTAAGGAAAGGCAACAAGTGACTGTTTGAAAGATGATATTTACAAACACAGAAATTTTCACTGCTGATGGAATTGTACAATGTTGCAGCACTTTGGAAAAGAGCAATTCCTCAAAAAGTTAACTGTAGAGTTACCACATGATGGAGCAACTCCACTCCTAAGTATATACCCAAGAGAAATGAATACATAGATCACATAAAAACTGTACTCCTGTGTGTCTGGCCACACTGTTCACAGTCACTCAAAAATAGAAACAACCCAAACGTCCACCAGGAGATAAATGAATAAACAATATGTAGAATACTCCATAATGGATTATTATTCGGTCATAAAATGGAATGAAGTACTGACGTATGCTATAAAGTACTAATGCATGCTATAACAAAGATAAATATTGTAAAAACATTAAGTGAAAGAAGCCAGACACAAATGACTATGATATTACAGGATTTCATTTATATAAAATGTCCAAAATAGGTGAATCCAAAAAGACAGAAAGTAGATTATTGGTTGCTAGGAACTTGGTAGAAAGAGGGGAGAATATCCAGTCACTGCTTAAGGGCATGGGGTTTCTTTCAGGGGAAATAAAAATTAGAGTGTGGTGATGGTTACACAGCTTTTTGAAAAAATAATGAGGTGCACACTTATAAGGATGTGAGTTATATCTTAATAAAGCTGTTAAAAAAGAAACAAAAAGAACATAGACGCTGCCTCATTCCTACCCCTATAGAAATAGGCAAGTAATTTTGCCTTTTCTTACCTCCACAAATAAATTATTCTTAACTCAGGGACACCAAATATAAAAGTATGCATATGCTAAAAATGGTGACTAAAGGTAAGGTTATACAGACAGGCTCGCATACTAAATTTCTCAGAAACAAAAGGAAAAATGAAAAACACAGGAGAGGAAGACAATTAGAGGGTGAATACTAGGGGGTTATACATAAATTTTCTGAAAGTGAGAATTGAGAAAATGCCAAAGAAGAAGAGGCACAAAACCAAAGGACCTGCTTCTTCAATATTTAAGAACCCAGCAAGAATCAAATCAGCACAATTAGTGGGAAAAAGAAAGACTCATACCAAGGCACAAATGGGATTTTTTTCCCCACCCTGCCCAAATGGGAATTCTTGATGTACTCAAGGGAAAGAGAAGGTCTTGGATGCTTTCAGGGTAAGACACAGAAAGAAAGGAGGGGGTTGTTGGGGAGGGGGAGTAAGGACAGGAGGAATGAAGGAAGGGAGTAAGAGGAAGGGAAAGGGGGAATAAAAAAAAAAGACCAAACAACAGTGACATTCCTCACAGTAGGAGGGGAACTGGAAGGCTGGAGAATGTATATAGGAAGCAGATTTTTCATTACCCATCTTTTGGTACTTCTAGGATTATTAACAATGTTATGTATTGTCTACCCCCCAACACAGGCTTTAAACAATAAAACTTTTCAGATAGAAGGTATGATAGAATGAATGGCATACACAAAACTGGTGACCAGACAGCATTACACTTCTGATCAGCACCCCTCATCCCAGAGAACAATGATGCAACATCCTCACACTCTCAAGGAAAATATGTTCAACCCATAGTGTGGTGGTGGCAGAATTAATACTGAAGCAATACAGTTGATCAAAGACATCTTCTGATATCCAAATATATTTTGACAATTTCAGAAAAATCATCTACCCTGCACCCCAAGGAAAGCACTGTATAATGAGTTTCACCAGTATGAGGAAGGATATAAAGAAAGAGGAAGATACAGAATTCATGAAATAAGAAATCCAAGTCAGAGGTGAGAGAAGGGGGGGGGGGGAGAGGGAGGAGGAGGGGGAGGGGGAGGGGGAGGGGGAGGGGGAGGAGGACGACGACCAGAATGCAACTGTACAATAGTCTTGGAGAGCAACTAAGAAGAAGAAGAAGAAGGACCAGAATGCAACTGTACAATAGTCTTGGAGAGCAACTAGCCCAAACTGAAACAAGTCAGAGACAATTACATTAAGGAAGTATCTAACAGAACCTGGCAGACTACATGAAAAAGAATAGGGTTTTTCCAAGTTCTCTAGGCTCTTACTTAGAAGTTGCCTAACAGACTTTAAGGCTCCTCTAGCATTAAACTGGTACAAGATTAGAGGAATAAAAACCTTCATGATATAGCAGCTGCCAGGTATGTTTTAGATCATGCAAAACACTAGGCCACCATTTATTATTTATTGAGTTATTCTAGATGCAAGCTTTTAAAAACTTCGACTTTTACCATGTGGGTTTGTTCTTTCTTTTTATTTTGTTGATGGTGTTCAGGATTGAACCTGGGACCTCATGTATGCTTGGCAAGTGCTCTACCACTGAGCGATACTCCCAGCCCCCCAAATTTAGGCTTTTGGGTCAAAACCTTTTATACTGCAGGTCAACATATACTTTAAGAATTAAGCCAGGGGCCAGGGCTGTGGCTCAGTGGTACAGTGTTTACCTGGCACGTGTAAGGCACTGGGTTCAATCCTCAGTACCACATAACAAAGAAAGAAGCAGAGAAGAAAAGGAAAGAAAGGAAGGAAGGAAGGAAAAAAGGTGTTGTGTCCATCTACGACTAAAAAATACTTAAAAAAAAAAAAAAAAGAATTAAGCCAGGGTTTGGGGTTGTGGCTCAGTGGTAGTGCACTCACCTAGCATGTGTGAGGCCCTGGGTTCGATCCTCAGCACCACATAAAAATAAATAAAATAAATGTATTGTGTCCAACTACAACTAAAAAGATAAATATTTTAAAAAGAATTAAGTCAAAATTTATTTTTAATCATTAAAAACAAATCAAATAAGCTGGGCACAGTGGCACTGTAATCCCAGCAATCCAGGAGGCTAAGGCAGCCTCAGCATTATAGCGAAACTCTTAGCAACTTCATGAGACTCTGTCTCAAAATAAAAAATAAAAAGGAGTGGGGATGCAAATCAGTGGTTAAAGAGCCTTTGGGTTCAATCCCCAGTATGGAAATAGACAGAAAGATAGATAAACTGGATGTGGTGGCACAGGCCTGTAATTCTAGCTACTTGTAAGGCTTAGGCAGGAGAATTTAAGTTTGAGGTCAGTCTGGGTAACATAGTGAGACCCCATCTCAAAATAAAAAATAAAAAGTATTGGGGTTGTAGCTCAGTGGTAGAAGACCCGAGTTCATCCTCAGTACTGCAAAATAAATAAATAAACGAATAAATAAACAAGTCACATCACTTTTTCTGCTCAGATACTACAAGAGAATATAAGGACTCTGATAGTAGCTAAGAAAACATACATTAGCCTACTCCTAGGATTTCACACATACAAGGCAGAGAACCTATGAAAATTTAGGGGGAAAAAAAACTAAAAAAAAAATTCAACATGTTCTAGAATTGGCTTGTCTGTATGTGGTACTGGGCACTGAACCCAGGGGTGCTCTATCAGTGAGCTATGTCCCCAGCCCTGTTTTTTTTTTTTTGAGACAGGGCTTTACTAGGTTATTTGGGCAGGCCTCAAAACTTGTGATTATTCTGCCTCAGGGAATTTGCCTTTTTTTTTTTTTAATGGTGTTGGGGATTGAACCCAGGGCCTTGTGCATGCGAGACAAGCACTCTCCCAAGTGAGCTATATCCCTAGCCCAGGAATTTGCTTTTTTAAAAAGCAATTCTGAATATTTTCTGGAAGAACTACTTATGTTTGTTAGCCAAGGACAATGACACTCTAGGAGATTTGGGAATAAAAATTATAGTACAAACAAATAAAGAAATCGCCTAAGAAACTTCACTAGCAATAGAAACTAGAATTACTGAGGATGTACAACTTGTGTATATGTTTTAAAAGTCCAATTTAAATAATAAAGTAGATGATATGAAAAGCTACACGATTCCATTTGATTCTGTTTTTACAGTTTCATTTCTTCATTCTAAGTTTAAAGAGTTGACTGAGTTGCTATGATAGATTAGACTGGGATGCAAATCCTTTTTATGCTTGCACTGAGAGGTAAAATCTAATCTCCATAGCTCTTGAATCTGGGCTGGCTTTACTGACTCACTTCGATCAAAAGTATTTAATATTCTGGACTCACAAAGGGCATAAAAAGACTTCCAGCTTTCAGCCAGGTATCTGTGAACACTTGCTCTAGGGCAAAGCCCACTGCCATGTAAAGTAAGTGATTCTCCAAGATAGCCATGCCCCAAAGAAGTCCAAACTAGTAGCGTGAGACGGCGACACAGAGTATCAGGCATCTCAGCCCAGGTGAAACATGTGAATGAAGAGGCGTTCAGAGAGCTCCAGCCACAAGCCGATGCTGACTGCAACTGTGTGAGGGACTCTGATAGAAACCACCCAACTGCACTTGCCAGCCCCAGACCTGTGAGAACTCAATTTATAAGCATTAGGGTGATGCACAGTAAGAAGAAGGTGCTTTATGACGTCTGTAGCTATCAGTGCTCTAGAACAAAATGGAAGAAGCTAAAATCCTCCTTTGAACTAAAATAAATCTCTTATATAAAACTATATAACCGTTTACCTTTTATAGACTTGTAACAATAAAAAGTTTACATTACTGAGTGTCTATTTCCAAAATTAGCCTATTTAATTCTTGAAAGAGATCTATAAAGCAGGAATTATTATTAGCCCAATGTACTAGTTTGAAAATAGAATAACCCTCATCACACCCTTGGACTAATAAGTGGTACTTCTAACTATTGCTATTTACAAAAGGCAATAAAATCAACATTAAAGATATAAGTGGAATAAAACTTATGGAACTTTACTAGGGACATTCTGTATGTATAACATATTGGAAAAACATCTCAAAGTGTGTTACAAACATAAAAATGATCCAACCCTTCAGAAAAAGAAAGCATTTTTTACCTGATCTAAAATGCATGGCAAAGCAAATGTATGAATTTTAATACCCTAGCTCTTTTAAAAAGCAACTCTGTATCATCAGTATTCATTCCTGAGTTAAAGAAGTCAAAAGCAGCAGCAGCTAACCAAACATAACTTACACTTACCAATTTCCTGCCGAGTACTGCACACTCCAACGCCATACTCCTCTAGGACCCTGGCAGCTGCTTCTTGACATGATCCAGTGTTTCGTGCAAATCCAAGATAGTTGTAGGAACCCATATTTATAACACCTTTAATTATATTCCCTGTATACCTGTGTTTCAATAAACACATAAAACTTAATAAACTCAGGAGCAAATACAATACTTAAGTGTGATAATAAGTGCAATGTAACATGAAAGGAAACACCATAGGGATGTAGAGAAAACGTGTTCTGTACGAAAAGAAGCTCAAACTCAGTACCCAACCAAGGAAATGGAAGGTACAATCAAATACCAATTTTCACTTATGAATAGTGATGAAGATTTAAAAACTGATGGCTAGAACAGTATCACAAACTAAGTAAGAATACTTTCTTTGGATGGCACTTTGTCAACACTTATCCACTGAAAGATGTGCATATTCCTTGACTCAAGCAATTCTCACACATGAGCATATGCACAAGAGGATCTATAAGAGCCACTGCAAAATAATTTGCCATGTCCCTTCCCTAGGCACAGGGACCTGTGTCATTTCATGTGGTAGAAGCTCAGTCAGCCTGAGCCCCCAAGGAAAGATGACTGATTCAGAGACTCTATCAACCTAAGGTAGACAGGAAAAGTAGGTAAGAAATAAAGTGTTGTTACTTTAACACTCGGGGCAATTGGGATGACCCAGCCCAACCTGCTATAGCATGGCACATTTAGGTAGCCACGATAAATAAGAAACCTGCTGTGAATGTACAAGTAAGACATTATTAACACATTAGCAAATTAAAAAGGCAAACTGTAGGGCTAGGGATGCAGCTCAGTAGTAGAGCGCTTACTTAGCATGTAAAAGGTACTGGATTCATCCCCCAGTAGGAGGAAAAAAAAAGTAGCAAACGGTGGTAGAATAATTTATTTAGTACAATCTCACTTTTGCATATCAAAAAGTTACCTGTGTATAACCCCAGTAGATACACTACACACATACCTCACAGAAAACATCTAGAGGAATAACACAAAATAAAATGATGACAATGGTCATCTCAGTAAAGGAGGATTTGTCGGGTAGTGAATTTACAGAGGACAGGGTTTAGTTTTCATGGGGAACTTTCTGTATAATCTATTTCCCCCCCAGTACTGGGGTTTGAACCCAGAGACACTTTAATGTTAAACTACACCCTCAGCCCTTGTTTTTTTGAGACAGGGTCTTGATAAGTTTCCAAGGCTGGCCTTGAACTTGCAATCCTCCTGCCTTGGCCTCCCAAGTAGATGGGATTATAGGTATTGTATTTTCCTTTTTAATAGGAAAGCAATTATGGAATATTTGTGCAATCTACACAATTTTCAAAATGTTAAAATATAGTTTTTTAAACTAGTTAATCCATTTAAGTAAAAATACTTCATTTATCCTTAAATCATCAGAGAAATCAAAACATCCACAAATAAATTCAGATCCTTTACTCAATTCTAATAAGTGGAATGATGGATAGTCTTTAAAAAAAAAAAAAAAGACAAAACTTTTTTTCTCAACTATAACCCACCACAGAATCAAATGTAATTAAAAAAAAAATTATTTAAAAAATCTCAATAAAGCTGGGTGCAGTGGCGCATGCCTGTAATCACAGCAGTTCAGGAGGCTGAGGCAGGAGGATCGCGAGTTCAAGGCCAGCCCCAGCAACTTAGCAAGGCCCTAAGCAATTCAACCAGACCCTGTCTCTAAACAAAATATAAAAAGGGCTGTGGATCTGGCTCAGTAGTTGAGTGTCCCTGGGTTCAGTATTCAGCACCCACTACCGCCCACCAAAAAAAAAAAATCTCAATAACGGTTAGGGGCATAGCTCAGTGGTGGAGTGCTTGCCTAGCATGCACTATATATATATATATATATATGGTTTGATCCCCCTACTCCTACCCCTACCCCCTCCCTAATCCAATTAACAACAAACAAAATGCAAGGAAAGAAATCTTGGTATTGATTATATCCTCAGCTACTACTCCTGTTTTGAGCGAATACTCAATTTGCAATATTTTCTCTAATGAAGAAATTCTTTTATTGCTAAGAAGTAATTTCCCACCGAGACTCACTTGAATGACCAGTTGTAGTCATGAGACTGTCTCTCCATGATGTCCACCTTGGCTCCAGGCACACTGCAGATTGGTCGATTCCAGTTGTCTCTTATCCTCATGTAGAGGTTCCTTGTATAGAAGTTTTCAAAATCCTGATACAATGACACAAAATCCTGCCAACAAATGGTGAAATATGTATATTTAACTGAGTTACCTTAAAAACAAATTTCACAACTTCCCTTTTCGTGTTGCAAGAACACCTGAGAATGGTGAATCAGTTATATTTAATTAACTGATCTATCAGGAAAGGCATCAATTTTCTAAGTTTATTTCAACATAACTCTTATTAATCAGTTAAAAGTCACATCACTTTGAGGGTTGACTTACATTCAAGGTTTTGAATAACTGACTACACAACTCTGACATTAAATGTTTTCTCTTCCTAATAATAATATCCAAGAGACTGTTCTACTCCCTTCCCCTCTGCTAACAATGTTAGGGGGAAATGCCATAAGAATCAATATAATTCCTGTTTCATACAAGAAAAATAATTCCAAAATTAAGATTCCAGTCTCTCCATATTTTTGAGAATCAAAATGAAACAAATTCAAAGAAAAGATGATAAACCAGAAACACTACCAAAAAAGAAAGAAAGAAACCAACAGGTAGATTATAGGAAGTCATCCACCTTAAGTAGTTTCCCTCTTGGATTGGAGTTAATAACAGAACATTCTGAAAACTAATTCCCATGTCCACAGACTTAAAATCTTCCTTTCCTTCCTGAGATTAAATTAAACTAAAATGTAAGCCTATAAAAATCAAGTCTCAGTGGAGGTGAAATGAATGCATAACGCTATGCCCAACATTGTTGGAGCCCTGTTCAGAACACACGTGGCCAGACCATGTGAGCTCCACCCCAACTCCTCAGAGTTCAAGGGTAAGACCAACAAAAAAAGAAAACAGAACTGGAGTTTACTATGCTTCCAGTCCTTGGATCTGAGGTTGGTGCCAATCTAATCTGTTAAATAAATTAACAAAAATAGTTAAAAAGCGTAAGCCTCATTCTGTAAAAGATTTTCATGGCTAAAAAGATCATACAAAACTCTAAAATTAACAACTTTCTATGGACTAGTAGAACGCTAAAGTGACTACGAAATAAATAAAAGATGAATCAAAGTAGATGAATTGCCTTAAATAGAGCTGAGCAGAGTCAGAAAGAATCCTGAGCATTTGCCCTGCCTGATACCATCTCTTTCATAATTAGTTCCCAGAACAGAAAATATCCACAATGTGGATATCCCTCACAATTAGAAATTTGTCATTTAAGTAATTTGTCCGTTTTGGTAGTGTCCTCTTCCAATAAAATACTGGCCGAGTGAAAGAATGAATAGAAGCAACCAAATTTTTATTTAAAGACTTTTCTTTGGCTATCATTCACATGCATGTCCAACAGAAAAAACAAGAAAGTTGTCCCCAACCTATGTCAACTCACATCAAACGGGGTAACAGGACTAACTCCTCTAGTAAAATCACAGTACTAATGATCTCATTTCTTTGTAATGAAAGGATAATTTCACTCAATCGCTGTCTAAACACTGCACAGTAATGTTTAAGGTATTAACTCAAATTGTTGAAAGAACTATTTCCTCACAGAAAATTTTTATTAGCAACACAAAACAATACTTTTTGTTTTGAATACATAAACATCAGGAAAAAACTTAAGAGTCTCATCTAGATACCAGAATGGTTATCAAATCTCCAGACAGAAAAAGGACTGCAGGCTAGCACGAGGTAGAACTTCCTCTCTCAGCCTTGGATAAACTGAGTTAACCAGTGACATAACTGTCTGTAGTTAGAAGGGAGGAACACGTTCCAACCTCCTAACAGAGAATTGTTATTCTGAGGCCAAGCGTCACCATCTCCTTAAGGCTACACTGAGAGGACAATGAGGTCCCTGAGATGGGAATACATTGGCACACAGTAAAGGTAGAGGAGTTGTCATACTGAGGGACGTTAGAGACTAAAAGCAGGTAGCACAGAATGGTTGGAGAAGGACTCAGGCCACAGTTTTAGCTTCCCTTCACTCCCTAGCTAAGTTCCAGACTAGTAGCTTTGGCCAGAAGTTTTGGTAGAGATATCTGGCGGGCAGAAACCAACTTCTGCTGCTTAGCAATGAAGAAAATGGACAGGAGAGGAACCACTATCTGGGATTCCAGTTCCAGGCAGTGGAAGGACTGAAGAGGAGTTGCTCCTCGCCCCACGATTCCTGTGTTCAACAGTGCAGGAATGTTCAGAGGTGAAATCAATTCATTTGATGGATTAGTAATCTGAATGGTCTCTCTGTCTCTCTCTGCTTCCCAACTGCCATGAATTAACTCCTCTGCCACAACTTTCCACCCTGAAGTTCTTTCTTACCTCAGCTTCAGACCAATGGAACAGGCTGACCATGGACTGAACCTCTGAAATTGTGAGCCCAAGATGTAACGTCTTCTCCTCTAAGTTATTTTTGTCAAGTATTTTAGTCACAGTGACAAAAAGCTGACGAACACAAATGTATCTGTTTTTCAAAAATATCTTGTACATTATTTTAAATATTCTAAGACTGAGGTTAAAACAGGGTTTTTTTTTTTATTTATTCATTCAAATATCTTTTAGTGAATACTGGATACATGTTGAATTCTTTGTGAATCTCAAGGCATTTCTTGGGATCACAGGGAAAAGGGTGGGTGCTACCCAATTTCAGAAAATGACTTTGTAACTACTTATTGTTCATGTTCGTTAGTGTAATTTTGTTTCCAAAGAGATGTCCACTTACTTTCATAGAATAACAATGATGATGAATAATCATAAAAGTAGCAATAGTTCCCAGCTACTAAGATACACAAGGCACCAGCAGAAAGTTTTATGTGTATGTATACATCTACGCACCTAAGTACCTGAGCACTATCTTACAGAAAAGCTAAACGGCTTTCCCAATTAGGGAATTAGCAAAAACAGAACTGGGCCTTCTAATTCCAGGCTATGCTCCTAACCCCAACGCCACTGCTTCTCATTCTGAGAAGCTTTTAAAATCTATCTGAAATACTCTGACATCATTCAAAGCACTTCAAGTCTGCTGTGCTACGGGCCTTACCTTCTCTTATCCTGTCTTGTGCTCATGATGAACGGGCCCTTGATATACGTATATATAGACAGACAGACAAACACAGCTGGAATTCTAAAACCCATATTTTCCAGACACCCTTGTGATCCGGTTGTGGATGAGATTCTACAGTAAGGCACATACACAAGATATGAAAGGCAGAGGCTACCTTTCTTGCAACAGCTCACAAAGAAAGCTCTAGTAGACTCTTATGCGGGCTAGGTTTCATGTTCCCAACCACAATGGCAACACCTGGATACTCACAGCAGGAGCAGCTTCCTAACTGGGGGGCGGCTTAGTTGGGGTAGGAAGACCGTAACTTCCTCCACCCTTTCACAATGTTACTAACACTTAATTCAGTATGTACAGTGATTCAGTTAACTGCAATTAAACTTTACTATTTCAACAGCACATTCTCTACAATTATTGCTGAAAAATAAATATTTAATGTTGTAAGTACCTTTTTGTTGTTGTTGTTTTGCTACCAGGGATTGAATCCAGGGATACTTAACCTCTGAGCCACATTCCTATCCCTTTTTATTTTTATTTTTTATTGAAACAGGGTCTTGCAGAGTTGCTTAGGGCCTCACTAAGTTGCTAAGGCTGGCTTCGCACTCACAATCTCCCATCTCAGCCTCCCGAGCCAAAGGGACTACATGCATGCACCACCATGTCCAGCAGTTATCAGTATCTTTTTTTTTTAAAGAGAGAGAGAGAGAGAGAATTTTTTCTTAATATTTATTTTTTAGTTTTCGGCAGACACATCTTTGTTTGTATGTGGTGCTGAGGATGGAACCCGGGCCGCACGCATGCCAGGCGAGCGCTTGAGCCACATCCCCAGCCCCTTTTTTCTTTTTCTTTTTTTTTTTTTTGGGGGGGGGGGGTACTGGGGATTGAACCCAGGAGCACTCGACCACCCTATTACATGACTCTATCCAAAATAGCAAGAACACTTAAAACCATATCCCCAGCCCTATTTTGTATTTCATTTACAGACAGGGTCTCACTGAGTTGCTTAGCACCCTGCTTTTGCTGAAGCTGCTTTGAACTCACGATCCTCCTGCCTCATTCTCCTGAGCCTCTGGGATAACAGGTATACATCACTGTGCCTAGCAGTTATAAGTATCTTATAATTAAATTTAAATTATTTGTCTTGGTCACACAACCATTAAATGATATAAATGAAATTTGAGACTTGTAGCACTATTCCATACTAGTGGTTTTAGTGGTAATGCTACAATTCCAATAAGAACTCTCAGTGTCAGCTGCGCACAGTGGCACATGCCTGTAAATCTTGCTCCTCAGGAGGACAAGGCAGGAGGACTATAAATTCAAGGTTGGCTTGGGCAACACAGTGAGACCCTGTCTCAAAATTAATTTTAAAAAATGGCTGAGGATGTAGTTCAGTGGTAGAGCACTGGCCTAGCATATGCTAGGCCTTGGGCTCAATCCACAATTCAGAAGGAAAAAACAAAAAACCTCAATGTCATTTCTAATTTAACCATTTTTTTATTTGTTTTAGTTTAGGTGTTGCAGTTTGGACCTTAAATGTCCCCCAGGGCTCATATGCTAAAGGTTTGGCACTACTGGGAGGTGGGGGAGCTTTTAGGAGGTGGGGCCCAGTGGAAGGAAGTTATGTCACTGGGGACAAGGCTTTGAATGGGATCTTGAAACTCTGGCTCCTCCTCTCTTTTTACTTTCCAGCTACCATGAGGTAAGCAGCTTTGTTTCACCAAAGGCTACCCACCATGGTGTCCTACCTTGCCAAGGATACAAAAGCTAGGGAGCCAACCAGTCAACCAACTGTGGAATGTAACCTCTGAAACTGTGAGCCAAAATAAACAGCTTTTCCTTTTAAGTTTTATATCTCAATTATTCTGTCACAGCAAAGGAAAGCTAACTCACTACGGCACAGATCTCAATAAATCAAAGGACAAAATTTTTCTCATTTGAGGCAAAAAACACTGCTTTGATGTTGGAATAACAAGCTTGGAAAAAAATGCTTGAGATCAGTTTGGGCAACTCAGTGAG